TTTCTCTTTAATAGTTCTAGAAAGCAGGGCTTCTCTTAACAAGGTAGTTATTCATGTCAGTGTTCAACTCATTTGGGACATAGGGACATTTCGGGTAACTGTATGTCAGATGAGCTTGTCAAGACGCACTGCTTTTTGACATTCGTATCTCGGTATCCAATTCATATTGGTATTTAATTTGCAACGGTCAAATTGGCAGTTGAGAAAAAATATGTGAGTATAGCTAAATAAACCTGGCTGTACTCATCTATCTGTCGTCATCCAGCGAAATTATGGACTTAAGGAAGTTTATACACTTATCAGGTCGATGTACTTTAATTTTTTATTTGGTGATATTATAACAAGCCATTATTTGTCTTCAGGTTTGCTTTGGTGCGTAAGGCTGTCACTCCAACTTAACCTAAAACAACTTATTAGATATTAAGATGACTGCAAGCATTGAAGCTCAGTCTACTTCAAAACTATGGCTGTAAATAACTACAATTTATCACAAAATAAGATAAGTGTTTATCAAGATCAATATCAATTTGATTTTAGTAAGCAACGATTGAGATGTTTTGAATAACTACACAGTTTTAAGATGAGGTAACAAACTGAAAAAACAGGAAAATTCCAAGAAATCTCTGCATACTGTTGGTTATAAACAAGATATCTTTCTGAGTTTTTAGTTTTAATTTTATTACATTATTACAATTATAGTTTCCAAGCTTGTTTCTATAGTTTTAACACGAGGAACAGATACTATTTGTAACCACGGGACCTTCTGCGAATAATTTAATAAACGCGATAAATTTTCCATTTGGTTGTAATCCATATTACCTGACTGGGTTATGTCATTTGGTAGATTTTTTACAGTGACTATAATATGGTTTTATTTGTCTGTTATGATAATTAATGTGGAAGTGTGCTGCGCTTAGTCATCTTTTGTGACAAACTTGTCGCTTGTCTTCTACAAATAATTAGAAAAATCCATTATATACATCTAATCTTAGCAATGCCTCTTAAGTCTTAGTAACAATGAAAGCAAAATTCCGATCAACACCTCCACGCGGTAGAGGTGGAGTAACGTTTGGTTAATGGCTAGCGTGGAAAGGGGATCGAACGATCGTCGCAATAAGTGGTCCAAATAGATCTGCGGGTAGGGCAATTCATTGTTCTAGGGGTGAGAAATTGCCCCTGGAGACGGATGAGCTGCTGTATGTGGTCAACGGCATTGGAATCAGGCAGACAAGGGGAAACCTCCTGATTACTTTTCTACAATGAAAGTATATATATATATATATATATGTATATGAAAATATGGATATTAAGTAACCAAGCTCTGTCAAAAGTGAAGAATTAAGAAACAGGAATTAGTTTAGACCATTGATGTTGTGCCCATTGTTCCCCTGGGAACGTAC